TACATCCTTGCAGAACATTTGGGATATGGCTAAAGCATACATGAGGGGTGTAGCAATCTCGTACATGGCTAAGAGAAACAAAGAGAAAAAACAATATAGGATGAAGCTCAAGGAAGAATACAAACAGGCCGAAACACAATTTAAGAGAGATCCTGAAAATAAAGGATTGAAAAACAAAATGGATCTAATTAAACATAAACTTTGTATAGAGGATTCGGAAAAGTTAGCACAAAAATTACAGGCAGCTAAGCAAAATAATTTTGAGCACGCGAATAAACCGGGAAGATGGCTGGAGTATAAATTAAGAAGGCAAAAAGAGAAGCTACGGATCATTAATTTGGAAGATGAGAAAAGAGAGATTCAGGGGGAGGAGACTATAAAAAGGGGAATAGCTCAAAGATACTATGAAAAATTATATAAGAGAAACGAGCACGCGAATAAACCGGGAAGATGGCTGGCATATAAATTAAGAAGGCAAAAAGAGAAGTTACGGATCATTAATTTGGAAGATGAGAAAGGAGAGATTCAGGGGGAGGAGACTATAAAAAGGGGAATCGCTCAAAGATACTATGAAAAACTATATAAGAGAAACGAGGGGAAAAATGTAGAAAGGATAATAGAATACTTAGAGAAGGCAGACATACCGAAGATACCGGAGGAAATAAAATCTATGTTAAATGAGGAAATAAGAATGGCTGAAATAATCAGGGCTATAAATAAACAAAAGATCAATCGACTGGCCCAGATGGAATACCAGCGGAACTATATAAAGAACAACAAAGTGCACTCAATCAATACCTACTAGAAGTTTTCAACGCAGTATCAACCGATGCTAAAATACCTAAGTCCTGGTCGGAGGCAAATATAATATTGATTCCAAAAGAAGAAGCGGAAAAAACATGGATACAAAATTATAGACCTATATCATTATTGAATTCTGACTATAAATTTTTTGCCTCAATAATGACGGAGAGATTCAAAAAGTATCTAATTGATTTCATACATTCTGATCAAAATGGGTTTTTACTAAACAGACAGACTAAGCGGAATATAAGAACAATCTTAGACATTCTCGAATTTTATGAATCGCATAGTGATCGTCAAGTGGCACTTCTGTTCCTTGATGCACAGAAGGCTTTTGACAATGTTAATTGGCAATTTATGATCCAACAACTAAAATCAATGGATGTTGGGGAAATTTTTTTAAACGTGATAACCGCAATATATTCTGAACAAAAGGCCCAGATCATAATAAATGGAGAGGCCACTGATAAATTCAACATACAGAAAGATACAAGACAAGGATGTCCTCTCTCACCATTGTTATTCATATATACATTAGAAATTCTTGCTAGAGTAGTAAGGCAAGAAGAGCAGATTAAAAGACTTAAGATTAAGAAAGAAACATACAAACTTCAAGCTTATGCAGACAACTTAGCATTTATATTAGAAGACCCAGAACAATCAGGGCAGAAACTATTCGAAATATTGGAAGAGTATGGGGATTTGGCAAGTTTGAAAATAAATAGAAACAAAACAAAGATTATTACAAAAAACATGACTAACATACAAAAAGGAAACCTTGAGGCAAAATTAGGTATACAAGTAGTTTCCAAATTAAAATATCTAGGGATAGTTATTTCAGTACACTGCTCATCAATTAAAGAAGACAACTATGGCAAATTGGTAAAGAATATAAAAAAGTAGATTTAGACCGCTGGAAAAATTTACATCTCTCACTACTTGGGAGAATTGCAGCAGTGAAAATGAACATTCTACCTAAAATGATATTCCTGTTTCAGAACATCCCAATTCAATTAGACAAGAAATTTTTCAAAGAGTTGAATAAATTAACCTTAGAATTTATGTGGTCTGGTAAGAAGGCAAGAATAAAATTAACGGCATTACAGGATGCCAAAGAGATGGAGGTTTAGGTTTCCCAGATTGGGAGCTATATTACCAAGTAGTGGCTCTGACATGGATTAGAGACTGGATAACCTTAGAAAATAAAAGATGTTTACATTTAGAGAGTTATGACCTTCAGCAGGGTTGGCATGCTCACATATGGATGGGGCAAAGCAGAAACCACCAATATTTTTTAAGACATAAGGTTCGGCAAGAATTAATAAAAAGCTGGAATATAGTCAAACGTTAATATTACACAAAGATTCCGGCTTGGCTATCACCATTGGAGGCAGTCACATATCCCAATCTGTATAGGAAAGACAAGGCTATTATATATAAAGACATCTTGAAGGAAGAAGGTTATTTAAAACAAAAACAAGAGCTAAAACAACAAGGAATAGACATGGAGTGGTGGTCTTATCTCCAGATACAAGCAAGATACATGAAGGACAAGCAAGAATGGGGTATTAACAGACAAGATACGGGGTTAGATAAAATACTGCTAGGCCTGGAGAAAAAACAAAGAATATTTATAAATACCTGTTGGAATATAAGCTATATGAGGAGCAGGTTAAAGAAACAATGGTGACATGGGCAATAGATCTAGGATATAATATAAATGGCAGCAAGTATGGGAGCGAAATAACAAAATCATATTGGCGACATCATATAAAGAAAATCTGTATAAGATGGTTTACAGATGGCATCTCCCTCCGGCCAGATTAGCCAAAATGTATAACGGATACTCACCTATGTGCTGGAAGTATACAAAAGAAAAGGGCACTTTTTTCATGTATGGTGGACATGTAGAGAAGCACAGGTGTACTGACGTATGGTCTGGGAATGGGCAACAGATATGACTAGGCAAAACATTCAATACAAACCTGAGACATTATTATTAGGAATACTAGAGAAAAATGTAAATAAAGAGGACACATATCTAATTATTCACGTGGTTATGGCGGCAAGGATACTATTTGCTCAAAAGTGGAAAGCAATGGAAGTACCGAGTGGAGAAGTACTAATAAAGAAAATTATGTATTGCGCAGAACTAGATAGGATAACTAAAAGATTAAAAAAATCAGGAAGAAACAGAATTTTATCGAATATGGAATAAATTTTATAGATGGAGGGGAAACAATGGAGGTCACAGCAAAGAGATAAGTTAAGATAGAGACCAGAAATGTACAGTTGTATATAGATATATTATATGTAATTAATGTACAATATGGACTGAGATGTCAGTCAAAGACGATTGACCATGTTCAATGTTTTTAATCCTTTTTTTCCTTTGTATTCAATAAAAACTTAAAAAAATAAAGTAATATTGAGTAATCTTGTTTAATCAGATTTTTTTGTCTTTCCCAATGTTATGTTTTTTGCCTAATTAAAGACACATATGAACAGGCATATTTAAGTTTTAGTGGAGATAGATAAGGGCAAATGCAGTAGGTTGATGCTGTGTGAATCAAGGAACAGTTGGAGAAAGGAACTGAGGAGTAAGCTGAATCAGAAAGAATGATATGCAGAGTGGACTGGCTAGTGGAAAATGAGTGAAGTATTTGGAAAGGACAGACTGGGAGTACATGAGGAAAGCTTGACCAAGGGACTGGAATTCCAAGAAGTTCAAGGAAAAAGTTATTTTTATCCACTTTCTCTGAATTAAAAACAAGTCTAAAAGTGAAAGTACCATTAAGTTGTCTGAGTGAGTGTACCAAAGCAGTGATAGGTAACTCCAGTTTGAATGAGGTAGCTAAAGCTCTATATGGAAATTAATGTGTATAAATGAGTAATGTGTTAAGGACACTGGATATATTAGAAATCAGAAATTTAAAATATTTGCTGGAGAAGCACTGTAATCAAAAACACCAAAGTAATTAGGAGAGCTCGTCTTCTTTTCCCACCTACTGACATAATTACAAGTGACTGTAACTTGTAATTTGCTCAAGGTTTTCAAAGTCTGCATAAACTACGTTGTGTAGTTGAAAGCCATGTTAACTACATATAACAGAATACAGTAGCTCCTTGGCCAATAGATGATGGGGGAAAAAAAAGAGTACGGGAGAAATGGCACTAGGATACAACCCTGCTGCACTTCTCTTATTTTTTCCAATAAATATCCATGTTTGATCTATATGCATTTGCACAGAAATACCATTGTAAGTGTTATATAGATCAGACACATTCATTTTCTCATATTTGAGGCTATCAACCTCCCACACTATCTAGTTCTTTCCACCAAGTTAAAAACTAAAGGTAGATGAACATGTTCCATATAAAAGCACCTGGATGGTTCTTAAGTAATTTCCAAACCAGATAGTGCAAAGTTAAGTATTTATTCCCTCTGCCACAAAAGAATCCTTTCTGTGGAATAGAAAACCTGACTACTCCCAAGCCAGAATTCTTTCCCTGAAGATTTCTTAAACAGAAATATTTGCAAATTTTCTTTTTTCCCCTTTTTTCTATGTAGATATCTCCTTATCAACTATCTTTAAGAGATCTATTTCCATGGGACTGATGTACATGAATAAGGTAATTGACCACTACTAAAGTTGTTTATATATTGTTGAACTTTGGTAATACAGCTTAGGTGTGCTGGGGCACTACGTGTCCTTGGGTTTGTCCACCCCCACTATAGGGCCTTCTGGCTTTTACAATTCTCTACAGCAGGATGCTTTAATTATTGTTCACATTGTAGAAATTAAAGTTAATAGGATTGAAGTTTATGCTTTAATCTCTTTACATACTTGATATTGGGTAGGTATATTATTTAGCATTAAGATTTTTTATACTGTAAGATTTTTAAACTTCACAGTTGTAAAATTCAAAATAGCTTATTAGAATATATATTGTACTTTGGAATTCAGATTTTTTTTAACAAAAACTGTAATCTACATTGTTACTCATAGGTAAATCCCTTTGAGTTCAAAGTGTTTATTTTAGATAAATAGATTATTATAACCCTACACACCGCTGAACTCAAAGGGATTTTATTTCCAAGTACTTAATATTGCAATATTCATCTAGGTCCTAAGTGTAAATAACCAATGATTGTTGCAATATTGTTGATTCATTAATGCAATATATGTCCATAATTGAAATATGTTCAGGTTTTATTTCATTTCAATTTAAAAATAAATGAGCTGAAGAGGGGAAGGAAATGTGCTTTGCATCCTTAATACTTTCCATTATTTTAAACAAAGTTCAAAATGTTTAGTATATGGCATTTCTTAGAGTATAAGGCATATATTATTTAATAAAATAATATGAGTATATATTTTAATTAATATTGTAAATATACAGCATAATTAAGGCACAGTGAAATAAAATACCAAAAGATCCAAGAAAAAATTCTTACAAAATTCAAGTAGGTGAACTTTGCTGACACAGAAATATGTTGGCATCTCACACTTTGGGCTTCAGGCTTAACAGAATCTAAAAGCATTCACTGCAGTTCTCAAACAACTACAGTTATCAGAAACTTTCTGAAGAAATCATTTCTGCGTTTGTGATAGTTTGGGCTAAGATTTGATTACAATTCCCTCCAATTTGACTTCTATTTTTTTTTAAAAAAAGATCTCAATAATTTAAATGTTCTGTTGAGCTAGTGGACAGAATCAATAAGATGCCCTGATAGAATATAAACTCTTCTTAAATCTTGAGAATATTTGTTTATATTATTGCCATTTTCCTTACGACAATAATATAATATTGGAAAACCATTGTGTTATCAATTCATAAGTTGAGATTAAATAAGAACTCATTGCCTACAAAAAAATCTGTAGTCTTTTGTCTCATAATTTTTAACACGAGAGTTGAGTTTAGAATCAAAGGAAAGATATCTCCTTTCTTTTGATCCTAAATAAGATGAAATATAAAACTTATTAGATAAAATATGCTTCAAAGCCATCACACAAGTCTGATTTTTTGAAAAATTATCCCTATCTGTATTAGTAAATACTATGGCCATGAGCCCATGAATTTTTCTATATACTTAACCATGTAATCCTATATCTGTCTACAGAGCTGAGACCGATGAGTTGAATGGGATTTACAGGTTAGTGTTTATAAATTGCTATCCTTAAAGTTTTACTTTGTTTTGCTCCAGCAATTGCTCCCTAGCAGGCATATAATGCTGAGATCTGGATTATTTCCAAGAGAATTTGCTTTCCTAATCTGTAGGGCTGGTTGAAAATTCTGGAAATTAAAAGCTCAGCACATTTTGAAGATTCTAGGTAAGAGGAGACTGTGCTAAATTATGTTCATCTGAGATCAGCACCAGTGGCCCAATAAACTGATCTCTATTGCAATTTAAAGGCTATGTTTTAATCTTCCACTTATGACTGAGTTATCTAAAAATTATATAAACATAAAATGTATAATTTAAAGGGTACATATAGCATTACATAAGACATTAAAGATTTTATGGCAAGGTATATATTATATTAAGCTAGTCATGCAAAGGGATTTTTTAAGAGCACAGAGTTCATAAACACAGTGAAAATAAGTGGGAATATGAATCTCATTTTCTTAATTTTGAATAGCTAGATTAAATATTTTATTTCCTTCCTAGAGTTTCAGCCAATTTCTTCAGTCTCTTCTTGAGCTCCAGTGGGAACTTCTCATAGCACTTCTTACAGACAGGCTTCATATCAAATTCCACAAATTTATTTCTGAAAAAAAAATATGTTGTTGAAAATTAATCTCCACAATACAAATTAATATTCACAATTCACCATAAATTCTGTTTAAATCAGGAGCAGCAGAACTTTATAGAATCTGAGACTTGGTTAACATCTGTCAGAAAACACATTCCAATAAATCTCTCCATCCTATTAAAACTTAAGAATGTTCTTGCTAGAGTAAGAATAGTTTTATTATTTTTTTCCAGAAAACCACCCTACCTCAGCATAAATACCACATTTCATTTCTGGCATGATTCTCTTCACCACCACGTCTTCCAACATAATATACAGAAAAAATAAACTTTTCTATGACTCTTCCTCAGTTTCATAACTTTTGCCATCTTGATGTTTCGGAACCAGGAAAGATCCTGAGAAGCACTGAGTGCTTCAGCCAACTGCTACGGGTGGAAGATGAGCATTTCAGGTATCTAATTAGAACTTCCAATTGTCTGGAACAGCTGCTAACAGGAAGGGCACATTAAAGAACTATAGATCAATGAGATCAGCTGCCAAAAACAAACTTGGTAATGCTTGGTCATCCTTGGCAGCTGATGAAAGCAGCTGGGAGAACTGACCGGTTGTAGCAGAGTTTAGCTAATTTATGCCATGCTGCCCTGCTTCCCAAAGTTGTTGAAAATTCTCCTATTGATAGGAAATGCATTGAGAGGTTTTGCAGAGACATCTGTGGCATGAATGAAAGCAGCTCTGCTCACAAGCTCCATCCATTTTATAATCACACTATCATGTCACACACACATGGCAATAGAAGGGGGGCTTTCATTGAGACTTCTATTATTTTGATGAATGCATTGGATCCTGAGATACCACTACAACTTTGAGAAAAGATTGGTATTTAGAAGGCTGACAGTTCCCCATCTCTATTCTAATTTTTCTTTAGGTGCTTTCACACTTAACTTTTGAGTGGGGGCTTCTCAGTATAATCCTCTTGAACATAATATGATAAACCTATGCAAAAAAAAAAAAAAAACCTAGCACAGCTCCACAATCAAAACAATGTATACAGATCTAGAAGTTAAAACTTGTAGCTACTAGTGCTTGCACAAGAAAGTGGCTTTTTAAAATGACTTTAAAACTGCACCCTACTGTGCAGCCATGTATGAAATAGAGATCTACAAGCTTCAGATAATGTCTAACCAAAAGTTTCTCTTCAAGGGGGACTGCTTTCTCATCTCTTAACATCAGTGTGTAGAATTATATGGACAGTGAGAGTAAAGGTTCATTCTCCAAGCTTGTGGGTTGGTTTCCAAACTTTCATTACCAGGCTAGGTAACATGTTCAGCAGAATTTAAGGGATGACAGTGTCAGTGTTCTTCTGTTTATAAGGGTTTCAGGTGTAGGTATGTCTTGTGATGGGTCAGATGTGAGTCATCAGTGAGAGTCTTGTGATGGGGAGGTTACATCAGGTCAGGGTCATTGGAAGGTGAACTCCTGTTGGGAAGGGGGGCTTGCGTGGGTTGGTTGACGGTTGGTTGGCTTTGCAGTTTATTTGGTTCCTGAGGGTTTGTAGGCTGGTTGTAGGTCAAAGTGTCTGTTGATGGAATTGCTTTGGAGTGCCAGGCTTCGATAAACTCATAAGCATGGCAGGTGGGTAGTGTGGCCAATAATTTTTGTGTTGTTTCGATCGAACTGGTGTTGTTTGGTGTCAATGTGGGTAGAGATTAAGGATTTGGGATTGTGGTGTTTGACTGCCAGCCGGTGTTCGTGGATCCTGGTTTTTAACTGATGGGATGTTGGTCCCACATGGAATTGGTTGCAATGGTTACAATTGATTCTATCGATTACGTTGTTTCTTTCCTCCTTCTGTATCTTGTCTTTGGTTCTGCATAATTCCTGGCAGAGTGTGGTTGTGGGTTTGTGGGTATTACTATTCCTAGAGGTTGGAGAATTCTGGCTGTAATTTCTGACACCCCTTTTGTGTATAGTAGGGTTAGTTTTTGCATGGTGGTTGGCTGTGTGATGTAGTTTGGGCTGTGTGTTGGAATACAAAGTTTTTTGGATAGCTGTTAAGGAGAAAGAGGTCAAGCAGCTGTTTCTCTTCTGCTTTTCTTAGTGGAAGACCATCACAAGACCCTTACTTGACACACTCACACCTGAAGTCCTTATAAACAGAAAAACACTGACATCCCCTAAATTCTGCTGAAGATGTTACCTAGCCTGGTAACGAAACATGAGGAAACCAATCCACAAATCTGGAGAATGAACCTTCACCCTCATCCTACACCTGAGTTACAGATATTCGCCATTGTATGGATAGTGTTAATGGATGACATATACAATGACTTTACACATCTGCGATTATATAACGTAATAATGGATCTACATGGTAAAAGGTTAACTTTCACTTGGAGCATATATGATATTAATGCTTTTTCAAAGAACTTTTTTGCCTATATCTCTCTTACCTTAAAAAAGACATGTATTAAGTTAATATGTTACACATTTTCTCAATAGATTTGTTCTGAATGAATGCTTGCAACTGATGAATTTCAACCAATAGTTTCATGACTGCAAGGTAAATGATGCTTTGGGGATACATCAAAAGATTTCATGTAGCTATTTTATCTTTTCTTCAACTGATATGGAACAAATTAGGTTGGATGCAGCAGAAATTACAGGAATATTACAAATTAAAATACAAAATTTTACACACACACACACACACATCTCCAATGAATGATACAAAACAAAAAACAAACTTATCTGGAATAATCCATTTTCTCCATATGAATTATAAAATGTAATCTGATTAGCAGAAACAAGTACATCCTGCGCCTGCAGAAAAGCATTTCGCAATCAAGGACTCTTTTGGGGGCAAACTGCTGAGGTGGGGGATGAGGGAGGAAAAGGTAAGTCTGATCACAGGGAACAATACCTATCAGTCTAGACTTGGGGCTGAATGTGTTGAAATTCATCATTTAGATATTTAAAAACATAGTTTTGCACATGAGAAAAGAAGCATAAAGAAAACATTTTCACCAACTAACCAAAGAAAGGGAGGAGCACAGGTGGTGAAAGGTAGAAATGAAAGCTTTACAGACAGACAGGCTTTTTCTTTTTATGTTTATCCTTATCCTTGGCTTCACGCTCCCGTTTGGCAAGTCTCCGTTTAAATTCTTCTGGCATTTTTTCATAACAGTGTCTGCAGACAGGTTTGAGATCGATTTCAACAAATTTGTCCCTTTTAGGTTGAGCAAAGAAGGAATGGAGGAGAGAACAAGAAAGAATCAAGACACAAGTAAAGTAGAAAGAATTCTGCAGAAAAATAGAAATAAAAAGAAAGTAGTGAATATACTCATAGGAAAAGATATCTTTGTTATTTTCCATGGACGGTATTATTATGAAATACTCTTATCACAGCAAGCTTAAAAAGTGCATTCCGCCATGGAGTACAAGTCTAAGATTTTAAGGGCAGCTCTTCTAGAGAGAGTTCTCGACTCACGACCATTCATTTAGTGGCAGTTCAAAGCTACAGCAGAGCTAGAAAAAGTGACTTATGACCAGTCCTTCCACAGCATCCCCACAAGAACATGATCACGATTCAAGCACCTGGCAACTGGTATGGCTCCGAAAACCAAGAAAGACACAAAGTTACTTCTAAGCAGTTTCCTTTATTGTTCCTCATCCATAGAAATCTTGCCAAACTACACACACCATTAAAGATATACTCTGAGACCTTCTAGGGAGGAGCTATCTTGATCCATTTTCTCCCAACCAAATGGAAGCTAGATTTGCTTAACAACCGTGTGATCCACGTAATGACCATGATCGTAAAATCAGGCACAAGTCAACAGCTGCATTACTCAGAAATGGAAGTTCCAGACCCAACTGTGGTCTTATATCAAGGATTACCTGTGCTTCTAAAGATAAAAGATATACCCCAAATCAGGGTAGATAATAATTAATGGTTCTTTAAAAAATAAAAATAAAAAATGGATTTTTTAATTTAAATTGGATTTTTTTATTTTTATCAAATTTATTTTAATAAAATGCTTTTGGAGTAAAATCTATCTAAAGATAGTTTTCTATTTAAGATACATTAATAATTTAGTTTATTCAGCATGAAATGGAGCTTAGTTATGTAGCATGAGACTGTATATTCTGCAATATTTACATTTTTGGTAAACTCAATTCAGTGAATCAAACCTCTGCAAGCTGAGATAACATGCACTGTATCGATGCATTCACACAATTTCACAGTAACAATGAGATAAATCATAAAACAAAGTTCAGGAATATTTCTTTATCCCATTGTTTTGCAAATCTATGTACACTACAAACTGTATGATTCTTTGAAGAGAATTGTATCTATACCAGGCTCTAAGTGTTTTAATTAAAGAATTTGAGTAGTTCTCCAACTATATATGATTAACCCATTAACCTAAAATCGGTTCTGATATTGCTGTTTTACTAACCTGACAGCTTATTATTCTAAATAGGAAACCTTCATTTTGTTAACAAATAATAATATTAAGGATTTTAACTACCAGCAGGAATGAGTCCTTACATTTAAAGAGCACCTGTCATTTCAGATCCATCTTGGCAGCGCCTCTTAACGGGCATCTACTCACCTGCTGCCCGCCACGTCCCTCACCTTGTTGTGTCACTGCCGCATCACCAGCCGTCCCATTAAAGTGAATGGGACTGTTGGTGAGTCAACAGTGGATCAGAGGAGGAGCCGCTGCGGGACAGAGATGACAGTTGCTCTTTAAAAATTATGATTCAAATTGAGTTGATTTAAATCAAGGCTTTTTACTAATGATTTAAATCATGATTTAAATCGTGATTTAAATTGATTTGATTTAAATCAAATCCACCCTGCCCCAAATGCACTCCAGATATTCTAGAAAGGGGGGGGGGAATACTTTGAACCTCTTGTCTTAAAGAGCAACCTGAATAACTCATTAAATTTACAGTTGCTGTGTCCTGAACTGCGTTCAACTGTGTTGTTGAACTTCTTTGACATCTATCCAGCTGCAAAGTCAATAGAAATTTATAGTAATCTGTCCTCTACGTGGAACCACAACCGCTTTCTACTTATTCTGTTCCACAAAAATGTAAAGCAAACAATATAAGCTCCTGAACAAAGTAAGCACTGATGAAAAACGACAGCATTAAAGAACACAACCTGGCTTCTGTCTTGTTTGGATAAGGCCCTGGTATGCCTCATCTTTTCCTCAAGACTTGCTGCAATAATCATAAATATTTTCCAAAGGAATCCTCAATTTACAAGTGACATCATCAATTCTATGATTATCTCCCCAACGGATATACTTACTTCAATGTTAACTTGGTGTTACAAGTAGAACATGCAAAGCAATTTACACACCATGCTTTATTCAAGGCAGAGACAACTACAAAAGAGAAAAGACAAGATGAACACAAACTCAACAACAAAACTGACTGCATTTATTATCATACATTCATAGCCTATGTTATGGAACTAATATTGAAACTGACAATACAAGATTCTCCAAATCATCACATATAGTCTGTTGTTGTTGTTAATTGCGAAGTCGTGTCCGACCCATCGCGACCCCATGGACAACATTCCTCCAGGTCTTCCTGTCCTCTACCAACATGTAGTCTAACATTACAGATTTCCATGGCAAAATTTAGTATTTGCATAGGCAAAAATTATTATTGATTCTTGTGATGATGGGCACTTGTACAGCATGTCAACACCAACATAATCATACTTAGCCTTACATCAGGACACATTACATCTTGGTATGGTGAATCAATAGCTGTAAGCCTCATTTTGAATGGCTAATAGGAAGGGATTACGGAGCTAGTGGTTCAAAATTTTGGAGAGCACTATAGCTTGTTTATTCTTGTCCTAAATCAGTGGTGGTGAACCTATGGCATGCGTGCCACAGATGGCACTTGGAGCCCTCTCTGTGGGCACATGTGCCGTTGCCCCAGTCTCACCTCCTCCCATGACCCCCTTCTCACCAGCAGCCCCCCTGGAAGAGAGTCGCTCCCAAGAGTGACCCACACAGAACAGCGCAGCCAAGGATATGGCAGCCACGCAGCGTGGACAAGACTCTGCCCTCACGCCCCATCGCGCAGTTGATGCTGCGAGGCCCAGGCAGAGGATGTGGCCACCATGGCACTGCTGGGATGCCTGGGCGATCTGCAGCGGCCCAGGAGGCAGTGAGTGGTCCTGCAGGCAGGCGGGGGCAGGGTGGGGGCAGGGCAGGGGGTGAAGGGCGGGGCCAGTTTTGGGGCACTCGGTCTCTAAAAGGTTTGCCATCACTGTCCTAAATGCTCTCATTCCAGGCTAAATTCAGCAACTGGTATCACAGGACAGCTGACAGAGCTGAAATGGATGTCTGTTACAGGCAGTTCTGCCTGTAGCCCAGACATGGTAAGTAGTTATTTGTTCTGCTGTTGCCACCCTATGTAAAATATAGGGATTAAAATATACTGGCTTCCCTTACAGCACCTTGTAACTATCTAGTCCTTCCCAAGTGTTCACCAAACTGATTCTAAACAAATGAAAATTGACTGAAGACTTGCCTTTATATACTATATTTGTTATCAGTCAAAAACAAGCATGCAGAATTCTTTCCAAGTGTTGTCTTCACTGCATTTGCCTAAGCCTACAGTTTTTAAATATTCAATTTTAGGGAAATCTTTCTACATTGTGTTCTGTAGTAGAAAAGTCTACAACACCCTATAGAATGATTCAGGAAGAGTAATTTCCAGGTCTTACTACTGATGATATCTGAATTTTCCCCAAGTCAGATGACCATACTGAAGACATTACAAACTCTAACTCTGTTGGCACCTAGTAGGTGTCCTGAATTTTTCAGCACAAATATGGTGGGCCTACTAAAACCACCACACTATTATATATGTCTGTAAGATATTCAAGATGAAGTATTATATTAGATAAGCAAAATATTGTAATTCATTTACTAAAAATCACTGTTTACTATAAATCACTAGAAAAATGGTCCAAAGGTACAACTTCAGGATTATGAAACCTCTGTAGTCACATCTAAATATTTAAGCCAAGTGTCTGAAATGATTTTCTATAATCTTGCCCTGAAGGTCTGAGAAAAATTCTCTTCCAGTTTTGCTCGAGAAAAAAAGATCCCATCAAAGCATTGGTCATTTCTAATCAGCAGTGGTCTGAACTAAAAAAAAAAAAAAAAAAAAAAAAAAAAAAAAAAAAGCACAATTAACAGTCTCTTGATAGAAATAGCACTTAGATTTATATACTGCTTCACAGTGTTTTACAGCCCACTCTAAGCGATTTACAGAGTCCACATTCTGTCCCCCACTAATCTGGGTCCTCATTTACTCAGAAGGATGGAAGGCTGAGTCAACCTTGAGCTGGTGAGAATCGAACTGCTAAAGTGCAGTCAGCAGAAATAGCTTGCAGTATTGCATTCTAACCATGAAAAGAACCTTACATTCCCAAATTCTGTCTGTTTTTACTATAGTTAAGGCTAAGAGTGTCCAAAGAACCCCAGATTTCCCTAGAATATGGTTTTAAAAGCCCTGATGAAGATAAATAAGTCCATTTACATTTATCTCAGTACTGTTATCCTTTTCCTTGCAACAAGATTTGGCTGGCTGGCTTGTTGCCTGAGCCTGACAGGGTGGGCTGAGAAACAATAACTGACCCAAGGACACTCAACCAGCTTTTGGTGCCTAAAACAGATTAGGACTCAGTCTCCCAAGATCAAGCTGGCTCTTTAACTGTTAACTATTGTGCTACAACTATTCTGGTTAAAAGGCAACTTATGGATATGTTTGATTGAAAGGGGAAAAAAAGCAACGTGTGAAAGATCCATTCAGAGCTGCATTAAAGCATTAAGCCTTGTAGGCTCTAGACACATTTATATTGTTGTTGTTGTTGTAATTATTATCTTTGTTGCAGTAATAATCCATATGCTTAGGATTATAAAGATGTTCCCTGGACTTACATTCATTAATAAGTCACATGGAATTCGTGTCAGCAAGAACATGCATAAAAATTAGTAATATTATCCTAGATAGATTTAATTTTAAGATACCGTAAATACTGGCGTATAAGGCGACTTCCGCGAGCGCTGAAATTGGCGCCAAAGACAGGGGTCGTCTTATACGCTGAGTCGTCTTATATGCCGGAAATACTGGTAGTTTCCAGCGTATAAGACGACGTTCCAGGAATGCGGCCCAGTTATAAAGACGGGGGTCGTCTTATACGCCGGGTCCCCTTGTACGCCGGCATTTACGGTACACAAAATTTGATTGTTTTACTTTCATAAGTTTCATATCATAAATTCATATCATACATTTTCATAGGCTCAAAACTTTTGAAGATATCAGACATTGTGGCTATGTGACTAATGGATAATACAGATGTGCATCCACTGAGGGAATGGATTGTATATCATTTGTTTAAATATACAAAAATAAAATACATTAAATGCTTTCAGGCCCACGTTCAGCATCTTGGGTATTTCATGATTATAGTATTTGGGAGTATTTGACTTTGAATGAATGTTTTAATGATGAGAAAAGTACAGGAAGTCCTCGACTAACAACAATTCATTTAGTGACCATTCAAAGTTACAACGGCACTAAAAATGTGACTTATGACCATTTTTCACACTTCTGGCTTTGCATGCTCACATGATCAGAATTCAGCCACTTGGCAACTGACTCATTTTTATGATGGTTGAAGTGTCCTGGGGTCATGTGGTCACCTTTTGTGACCTTCTGGCAAGCAAAATCAATGGGGAAGCCAGATTCATTTAACAATCCTGTCACTAATGTAACAACTGCAGTGATTCACTTAATAACTGTGGCAAGAAAGGTTGTAAAGTGGGACAAAATTCACTTAGCAAATGTCTCAGCAACATAAATTTTGGGCTCAGTTGTGGTCGTAAATCGAGGACTAACTTCATATCCATGGAAACTCACCATCACCTTCAATCACCCGGTTACAATGAAAACACACATCACCAAAGAGCTGCGGAAATGGAAAGTATAAGTCCCAGTCAGAATTTATATTAGAAATAAAATTAATAATGCAACATATTAAAAACATTTGTGGGGAAGGTTGTAGAGAAAGTCGTTGGATGACAGCTAGACAATCTTAAAGGAGTTGTATCTTTTTTGAGCTTCAGGCTGGGGTAGAGTAGGGAGACAACAATGGTTGCTAACAAATATTTTTGATGGGGCTGCAACGGGGTGTGTGTACATTCATCCTGGTGCTCCTTGATCTCTCAGACTTTTGATACTGTCAACCACTGTTGATCAGAGGGAGAAATCACACCCATGATCCTTCAGCTGTGGAATGTCCCAAGGTTTGATATTAACCGACCCCCCCCTTTTTAACATGTATATGCTATCTTGGGGCTTATTTGGGTTTCTTTTTGCTTCTTGCCTTTTTTTTATTTTGAACACTGTTTGCATGTACTTATTATTACATTTTGAGTTTTCTTTTTGTAGATGCTGTATGCCACCCAGAGTTCTTAGGGATTGGGGCACATTTTGTATTCTGTAAAAAGTAATAATGAATAAAGCTGTGACTCCTTTAAGTCATTACTTGGAGGAGCACTCAACTCAATTGGGCACAATACAAAGTTTATAACTGAATAATAAAAAAAAACTTAGGGGGCATCACAGAGACTTCAGATTGCTTGCTATTCTTGATTTTAAAATCTCTGTTAAATTAAAAATATTTTTTTCCGCCCTAAAAGTAATTTTAGCTTTTCTTTCTTCCACTCCCCACAATATGTATGCAGCCCCATGGCATTCTTCAATTAGAAAAGGAAGAGGGCAAACAGCTAAAAGTCAACATTCTGCTTCTGAGTCTATGCCAAACATTCTGTTGTTTTTTTCTAAGAGAAAAAGAAGAAAAAATGTTATGCAGTTAAATTTGGAGGACCAGGGAGTGGCATTGCTAAGAAACAGGAAGGGTTAGGAGGAGGGATGGGTCTGTGAAGCATGTGTGTAAAAAGTGACAATGGTGAGAGAAAAATAACTAAAATGAGTAGATCTTGAATGCTGTAAGGGTAGGATGAGGAAAAAAAGTTGGAGGAACAGAACCTTAACAAGAGAGGGAATCATGAGTCCAAAAGACTAATTTTGGGTTTGAGGTCCAATTCTCCCATATATTCAATATTCTGAGCAAGATACTTATCATTTAGCCTCATCAGTCCCTTTTCTATAAAATGAGCTTCCTTTCAAGCAAAATACTAAATGATTCAAAACAATATTTTATATTTGGGATTTGTCTTTTATCTTGCCACCCACAAATATTCAGGAACCTTGATTTACAGTAGGTCAGTGTTTCTCAACCTTGGCAACTTTAAGATGAGTGGACTTCAACTCCCAGAATGCTGGTTGGGGAATTCTGGGAGTTGAAGTCCACCCATCTTAAAGTTGCCCAAGGCTGAGAAACCCTGGTTTAGGACTGGGGTATCAAACTGCCGGCCCACGGGCCAGACGCATCACAACAAAACCACGCAATGGGGAAAAAGTTCCGATATGTCGTGCGATGTCATGTGATATTGCGAGTTTGACATGTCTGGTTCAGGATATCACATTTTACTATTCCTTTTAAACAATTAAAAGAAAAGCTACGGGATGGCCTGCTTCTATACAATATGGATTGAAATTCTGACATTCAACACATGCTAACTTGTTCAGATTCAAACCAGGTTATAATCATTGCAAGTGTGTTGAACTTGAAATGGGTGAGTTCAAAACACTAGATTCACACTTGAAGTAGAATGTTCCAGAATGATCAGAAAGAGATACTTCAACCTTCTAACTCTTTTAAAGCAGAAATGGAGTGTTTTGAGCAAACAAAAAAAAACCACTTCAAATTTGAAACTTGCTTTATTCTCACAAAAAATAAGATAGAAATTAGGAAACTGTTAATACCTCCATAAAAATGTTTTGAGGGCACGTATACAATGAGCATATTTTCTTGGGGAAAAAGAATAAACCTGAAAAGGGGACAAATCTCAAAGGGGCTCATAAAAATAAAAAGTGTAATAGTTTAGATTTATAATTTTGCTTTAGAAAGGAAAATTCAAAAACAAAATCAAGAAAATAAATCTGGAGGACAACTTTTTGAAATAAAAGACATATGGTCATTGTAGGCATATATCAGCCTTATTTCTTATGAACTGCAGTTTTAGACTTAAAGTATTGAGAGTCCCTGGATGAGATTTAAAACACAAAGTGCAAGATGCAACCATACCTGATTATAATGGGTTTCACAATACGCCAGCCCCTTCCTTTCATAGTGACGATGACCCAGAAATGGTTTCTCACACTTGGCACAAACAAAATGCTATGGGGTAAAAAGGAATTACCTTTACTTTTAAACGAAATAATTTTCCACAAAGCATCAGTCTCTATGTAAACATTAAGATATCAAATTAAATTTTGCGGGAGCAAACTAAAGGAAGACTGGCCTTCCTCTTGCTTGTGTAACCAAAAACAAATCCCACTAGCTTAGCAATTATGTCCTTACACCTTGGTTTTGAAAAGCTACTTTCTAAGATTTCCAGAGCAAATTTCAAAATTTTAATTAATAGTTTAAAAAGTGTTCCTATGCCTAACTTACACTGATTTAGTAAAGATTTCTAGAGGAAACTTTATAATTAGTATGTGAGTCTAATTTAGAAGAAAGTTATTCATAAGTCCTTTTTTTTCATGAAGACATTTGAGCAGAGATTGGACAATCATCCACCTTGATGCTGTAATGGAAACAGGCCTATGCAGTGCACTGAATTAGGCCAAAGGATCTCCAAGAGTCTTCTACGTACTTCATAAGAAGTAAAAAAGCAGCACATATCTACAATCTGGAAATAATTGGCCCTCTTTCTCCTTTCATTCTCTCCTGAATTCACATTGTTATAAACAATGGTGTGATCTAGAAATTCAGATTGATCTGATCGAAACAAAATCTGCTGTATGCAATCCTTTGTATAAAACTCTATATACATAAAGTTCTCTGAGATTTGCCCTTTCTCTCGGCTTAATACCACAACTGAGTTTACGATGGGAAATTAAATAATAATTTTATAATACTAGAAAAGTCACATTATTTTAAAAATACTAAGAGGAGATAAAAGCATATGTACTTGAAACCAGTCACTCAGATTTCAAATACATGCAAATCTCTTTGTTTTACCAATGTTTAAAACCAGGCTGTTTCTCTTACACCAGTGTTCACCAAACCCTCAACCTCCTTGCAGTAAGCACCCTCACTGTCATCTTGAAAACGGCCCACTACTGTTGTATCATCCGCATACTTCACAATATGGTTTTACTATCAGAATATTCTTTTTTTTTCTTTCAGTTCAGGAAGTCAAACATTTCCATTCTTACAATGGAAGAGCTTATGGATTAGATCATTATAAAGGCTCCTTGCTATAAAATGACATAGTGTTTATTAAATGTTTTGAAGACTCTTCTTGAATATTCCAGGTTGAAAATACCTATAAATACACTAACAGAGAAACAAAAAGCTTACCTCAACATGCCACTGCTTGCCCATAGCATTTACCACTCGCCCTTCAATTGGTCTCCTGCATGCTCCACAGATGGGGACCCCCATTTTATCATGGCAAGGCAAGCAATACAGCTCTCCCTTCAATTCTCGAGCTTCTGCAGTCAGTTCCTTTCTGTTCACAAATCAAAGAAAGAATTGGGAACATTCTAATCATCCAATTGGTGACAAAGGAGAACCACCATTGCTCATTACTGGACGTAGGAGTTGTTGGAAATTCAGTAAATAAAGAAAGCCAACGTTGCCCATCCTGATTTAGATATAGACTTTGGGAATGCATGACCTTCAAAATGAAATTTCATCTTGCCATGAAATTGAAAAAGTAGAGTTCACATGTGTGGTTTCATAAGCAATACTGTGCTGTTCACATGCATTAGATTCCCTTATCCTGAGAAAATGACATTTTGATAGAAGAGCCAAAGATGAAGAGCAGGTCTGCACCTAGATAAGGCCAACTACTTTCTACATAAAATGCTGTTACTGAGGAATGTATAGTGATTAAGGCTACAATACATGATCATAAAATTGGCTTGGGATCAAGGAAGTAAACTGTTACTTTACAAAAATAACATTTGTTTGTAACCTTATAGTAAAGTGCAAGGAACTCAATCTGGATTAGGCATCTGGTCTAGAAATAGAAATTTGCCTTAAACAAATTTAGAAAAAAAACTGTTAGATTTATCATTAATTTAAAAAAACACCAGAGAATGCAATAATAACGATGATGATGATGATGTTGGAAGGGACCTTGGAGGACCGGTTTCATGGAAGACAATTTTTCCATAGATTGGGGGGGGATGCGGGGGGGGGGTTTTCAGGATGAGTCAAGTGCATTACATTTATTGTAAATTTTCTAAACAAACAAACAAATAAATAATGTACTTTATTTCTATTATTGTATTAGATTAGACCAGTCACTTCTTGCTTCTAAGAAAGTGGGAAGGAAAAGAGACAATCCTAAACTCAGCCTTCCAGCAAAATAAACTGAAGACCCAGCACGTTGAGGAAGTGCTAAGAAAACCATGAGAGAGAGAGAGAGAGAGAGAGAGAGAGAGAGAGAGAGAGAGAGAGAGAGAGGGAGCGTGCAAACCAACTCAGCACTGCGCAACCCAGCAGCCTTGGAAAAGGTGCAAATGAGAGAGAGATACAGTGCTTAAGGGGAAATTAGCTTCTCCTCTCCCCCCTCCCCCATTACAAGCCAGATAGGAGCGCCTTGGCTTGCAAACTTGGAGAGCTGCAGGAAGAAAGGAGGAACACGCACACACACACCACACAAATACACCAAATTAAATCTCGAAAAGCAGGCAGCATGTTGTCAAAACACGAGGCACTGGAACATCAAAATAAAAGCAAAAAAATTCAGCTGAAGTGCAACAGAGCCAGCGATCTTAGAAAAGATGCCGACGAGAGTGAGATTCCTTGGAGACCCAGTGCTTAAGGTGAAAGTAGCTTCTCCCTGCCCCTATCTGCACCCTGAGAAAGACACCCTCACACACAGATACTTTGGGGGGCGTCCCCCTCCAATGAAGCTTTGGGGGAGCCCCGGTTGCAAGCTGGGCTGGTGTGCATTTGTCCTGCAAACTTGGAGAGTTGCATGAAGGGAGCGCAAGCCCAGTTGGGGTTCCAGGAGGGGAAGAAGAGGAAAGAGGAAGAAGAAGAGGAGGAAGAAGAAGCAGCAGAACCAGGAAGAGGAGAAGGCAGAAGGAGAGGTAGCAGAAGAAGCAGGAGGAGGGAGAGGAATAAGGACGCAGAGCTCAGATGTTGCAAACCAGTTGCAAGCGCGTAGGACCTTGCACTGAGCAAGATGGCTTCTGCCCTGCTACTCTCCCGCCCCTGCCCAGACCCCTGCAAACTTGCCGCATTCCTGGAGGTGGAAGACATGTTTTCAGTGCACCTCCAGCTGGACGGCCCAGTTCTTAAGTGCCTACGGCCCAGTACTGATCCGTGGACCGGGGGTTGGGGACCCCTGTTCTAGTCCAACTCCCTGCTCAGGCAGGAAACCCTATACCCATGGTGGTGAACCTATGGCACGTGTGCCAGAGGTGGTACTCAGAGCCCTCTCTGTGGGCATGCGTGCCATGCCCCGGAGATGGCAACTGTCCCTTTTCAACCAGCTGTCCGCTAACTTGCCGAGGTCCCATGTGGCTGGATGCATCCTAGCATGGCTGGTTTCCCTCCCCCCCCATCCCTCCTGGTTTCACATGCTCTCCTTTTCCAGGGCACGACCCACTGCATAGCTTCCTCAGTTGTTGGCGGGTGGCCAGCTCAGAGGCGGCTTCTCTGAACTGCTGGCGGTGGGCTGCAGAGCCCCAGAGTGCGCTGGTCGAGGGGCCGGCAGGCTGTGGTTGCTGATGGACATTGTCGGCCCCCATACGCTTGCTGGCCTTGGTGTGGGGGGCCAATGGTGTCAGGCAACAGCCGCCCTGGCCCCTGCCTTGCCTTGCCCTGTGACAATGGCATCCCTGCCCTGCCTTTCCTCACCCCTCAGGACAAGCCTCCTGTCCACCGCCCCACCTGCCTGAGACCTCCCTGAATCTCCCCCAACCCTGCCCGACCCGCACAGCGTCCCTCCCCATGAGCAACATCGAGTGACCATTTCCACCGAGTGGCTGACCAATGCACATGCGCATATGGAGAGACCTGGCCCATAGAATTGCCAAGAGTCAGACTTGACTGAATGGCTAATATCATCACATCAAAAAAAGAAATATAATTGCTGTTATATATTTTTGATCCTAACAAAGTTATGCATAAATAGCTAGTGATTTAATTATTCAATACAGTGGGATTTACACAAGATGGGGATGTATATTCATTGTTTTGCCTTTGATAACACTGGATATTTTGCTTTCAAATTTGATTATCAAGCATTGTGATACCAACATTTAAATGTTAAACTTTTTTCATAATAAGTTTCCATTACCCGCAGTTGGCACAGTTGAAATGATCAGGATGATAAGGATCATTCTTGAAGATAAGCGGCTGTTCATCAATTATGGCATGGCACTTTTGGCAAATATATTTGCCAAGACCTCTGGCTTTCTCCCGATTATGGCAAGGACGACAAAGATGTCTAAAAGAAATCAAGGAACAAACAGTAAGAAATATCAGAATGGGGGGGAAATGTTCAATTTGAAGTTTTATTTCAATCTTTTAATCAGAAAATTAACTACTTTCTGTAGGAAAAATGATGTCCTTTTCTTATAAGGAAAGATAAGGTCAGTTGTTTGCATTAAGATCTCTATTTTTCAAATAAGCAATCTCAAAGAAAGACTTGCCTTAATTTTGACCATGTAAGCGTGAAGGATTAGTCCAATGAGCATAATATAGTCTTCTATCCTGCAGTTAATAGTTTCTACACTTCATATAAATCCAACTCTCATCACAGTTTTTGGTTATTAAATGCACAATCACTTAGGTATAGGGGCAATTATATTGATGGTTATAAAAACCTTTGAGCAAAAGCAGAGTAATAGGTAATAGTCTGATTTATATGCTCCTCTTGTTTTCAAAAGGCAGTCAACAATATTTTTTTTAAAAAAATAAACAAAAATAATTCAATGTTAACTAATTCACCGAAAAGCCCTGAAAAAGTTTGACTCCTTTTCTAGAATATGAAAGAATGGGAACTGAAGCATCTTTCACAGCATGAGATCAATACAGGAGAAAATCTCCCTTAAGACTAACAATCATTTGACAGTCTTTGGAAAGTGAAGGCACCTTTAACAGTTTCTTCTACTGATTATCTGAATCTGCAGAGATATTTATCAGGATTGTTAGTCCCTTATGCAGATCTCAAGCCATTGCAAGGAAACAAGTATTGCCACATACAGTACATTGCAGTAGACAAGTTGGGCTGTCATTAGAGGATGGGTAAATATTGCAAAATTGACTGTCTTAGGAATGGTCATAGTTAACACAAAATAGACATAATTGTGCAAACGCACACCTCCTTGCCATCAGTTAGGAATTTGGGGATAGTAGAGGTCAAAGTACACTTTCAAACTATGGACTTGCTCTTTCAAGGTGAGTGCATTGCCCAATTTATTATGTTTTTTCTGACTATAATTTCAGCTTGTATTTCCCAATTATTATTTACTATGTATCTACATAGTATTATTTACTATGTATCTACATAGTATTATTTACTATGTTTTCCTGGCAGACATTATGGGAATATGTAGTTGACAGGTTACAAATACAGTTATTTCATATAATGTGAAAAAATTCTTAGAGCATGAAATTGGAGAGTTGGAAAAGTCAGAAGAATTGGAATTTTGGATTGCAACTAAAAATAGAGAAAAAGGCTGGTTTTTACATATATTGGTTCCAGCATGAGTTTAGGAGAAAAGAAGAAATATTCAGGGAAGAATGAAGGAGGAAAGAAAGAAGTAGGAGATTATTATCTGAAATTCATGGGTTCAGCAATTTTTGATTATAAAATAGAAATAGGTTCTTGACATAATTATGTAAAGGTGACTTATTTATTTAAGAAAATTTACAGGGCTGCCCAGTGACTCCGGATGGCTTACAAGGACAAAAACCTAATATAAAAACAATACAAAAATCAATAATTCCCCAACAATAATTCCTGGCAACAACAATCAAACAGGCAACTTGATGGGCTCCATATCATTCTCCAGGCCCGTTGGCAGAACCTTCTTTTCAGGGCCTTGCAAAATAGTGTCAAAAGTGGGAACCAATCTTATCTTTGCAGGGATGATGCTCCATAGAGATAGAGCCACCACGAAAAGGCCCTTGTTCTTGGTCCCATTAGATGGACATCCTTAGGAGAGGGAACCTGTAGCATTCCCTGCCTCCTTGCTCTGGTGGGGTCAGGTAGATCTCAGTGAGAAAAGACGGTCCTTCAAATAACCCAGTCCTAATCCATGTAAGGCTTTGCAGTGACAAGTAGCATCTTGAATCAGATTGGAAGGAAATTGGTGGCCAATGCAGATCCTGCAAAAGAGGTGACACATGTGCAAATCTAGGCTTGCACAAAACCGTGCAGGCCACCACATTTTGAACCAACTGAAGCTTCCAAATACTTCAAAAGTTATAAAAAATCATTATGCTCAGATTTATACTCAAGGGAGAAGTAACACTGACCTGCCAGCATTCTTCACAAATCCAATATCTGCCAGTACCTGTTGGCAGATATCACAACAGAAACATTCTGGATGCCAGCTATTGTTCATAGCTTTAATAACCCGACCGATAATGAACTCCCCTAAAATTCAACAGGAGATATTAAAATATGTTTATTAAATTATTAAAAACTGCGAGATTATGATAGCTTAATAAAAAAATAAAACATTATTATCCTCCTACTGTCACTGTCCACTTTCGTAATTTATGACTATATTTGGATAAATGATGTTTAACAGAGTAACAGGCTAACAGAGCTGGAAGAAACCTTGGAGGTCTTCTATCTAGCCCAACCCCCTCCTCAAGCAGGAGACCCTATGCCAGGAGTGTCAAACTGGTGGCCCATGTGTCACATGCAGGTCTCAAGTTAAGCAACGTTATCAAGAAGCTTATATATATGCAGGTGCAAAACACCTGCATATATATAAGCTTCTTGATAAATATTACTGAAAGCAATATTACTGAAAGCAATAATATTACTGAAAGCAATTGTGATTTTTTGTCTCATTTATTCTACATATTACAGCAGCAATTTCCATTATCCTGAAAGCAACATGTCTGCACTTGATAAACAGACTATTATCTCACTCTAATTAAGTTATGTGCCTTGATGCTCTTGCTTAAGGCCATACCAAGGGAAAATAGACACTCTAGTCTATTTTTACCATAGCAACGTCCACTTCAATGGTACAAGCTTGGGTTTAAACATTATTGTTTTCTAACAAAATCTTCAGCTTAATTTCATGACATTAAAATGAACCAAAGAAGACTTTCAGGCAAGATATTCTGTATATTATAATAATAATGATGATGATGATGATGATGATGATGATGGAAGGGACCTTGGAGGTCATATCTAGTCCAGCCCCCAGCTCAGGCAGGAAACCCTATACCATTTCAGACAAATGGCTGTCCAGTCTCTTCTTAAAAACTTCCAGTGCTGGAGCATTTACCACTTCTGGAGGCAGGTTATTCCACTGGTTAATTGTTTTAACTGTCAGGAAGTTTCTCCTTAGTTCTAGGTTGCTTCTCTCCTTGATTAGTTTCCATCCGCTGCTTCTTGTCCTGCCTTCAGGCACTTAGAAAAATAGCTTGACTCCCTCTTCTTTATGGCAGCCCCTGAGATATTGGAACACTGCTATCATGTCCCCCCTCGTCCTTCTCTTCATTAAACTAGAGTCTAGACCAGTGATGGCGAACCTTTTAGAGACCGAGTGCCCAAACTGCAACCAAAACCCACTTATGCATCGTCGGATGCTGGGTGGGTGTGGCTGCGGTGGTAACGGCAGACTGGGTGGTACTAAAAAGTTCAATCAATCAATTCCAACTTTGCAAGACCTTTTTTTTTCCCCACCAGAAGTTGAAACTGACTGATTGATTGAACCTTTTTTTTTTTTTTGTACATGGCGGCGGAGGCCTAAAGCAAAAAGGTTTTATAAAACCCAGCTGAACGCCTAGGACTGGGGCGATGGCGCGCGTGCCCACAGAGAGGGCACCCGTGCCATAGGTTCACCACCACTGATATAGCCTATGGCAGATTTTTTTTTTAAAAAACTTATGTTTGTTAAAAATTTCATCAGTTTTTATTATTTATTATTTGAATTTATGTAGCCACCCATCTCATATAAATGACTTCACTTTTTTCTTATTTTTTATAAGAAACTTTTTTTGTTATTTTTGACTTTGGTTGCAAGCCTTAGTTCATTATGAACCTTACTTCATCTTTGCAGGCTCTGACTTAGTTATGTGCCCCTCTTTCCACTTTCTATACTTGTCCTTTTTATCTTTCAATTTATCAGAGTTCTTTATGCAGCCATGCTGATTTCTTTTGAGAGCTGTTATTTTTCTGCTTTGTTGGTATTGTGCTAGACTCAGCTTTTATTATCTCACTTTTCAAAATTTCCCAAGCTTCTTGAGTTGTTTTCCCCTTGAGGATTTCTCATTCATGGAATCCTTCCCAAACCCTCTCCAAGTGTATTGAAATTACCTCTCTTGAAGTCCAAGACTCTAGTTTGACTGTGTTCTATTGCTTGTGCTTCCATAATGTTGAATTCCAATACTGCATGATCACTTCCTCCCAAGGTTCCTGTGGCTTCAACACCTTCTATCATTTCATCTCTGTTAGTGAGAATTAGATCCAAAATGGCTAATCCCCTAGTTCCCTTCTCTACTTTTTGGGAGACAAAGTTGTCTGCTAGGTTTTCAGGAATCTGTTTGATCTTCCACTTGGTGCAGAGTTTGTCTCCCAGTTGATGTCAGGGTAGTTAAAGTCCCCCATTATTATTGTGATGTGTTTCCTACATACCTTAGTTAGCTGACTAGCAAAAAGTTCCTCTATTTCCTCTGTTTGTTTGGGTGGCCTATAGTATACACCTATGGCAATGTCATTTTTTCTCTCTTTTTTATTGACCCAAATGCATTCAAGACGGTTTTCATCATTGTTGTGCTCTATTTCTGTAGAGATGTAGTTATTACTTATATAGAGAGCAACTATACCTCCTCTTTTATTTAGTCTATTTCTTTTAAATAATTTAAATCCCTCTAGCTGTGTGTTCCATTTATGGGTTTCATCCCACCATGTTTCCGTAATGGCAACAATATCGTATCTGCCCTCATTAACCTGAATTTCTAGTTCCCCTTGTTTGCTGTTCATACTCTGTACATTGGTGTATAGACATTTGAGTCCTTTATGACTGACCCTGTGTTTACTTTCTACTTAACCTGTGTGGTGCCTAAGTTCCCCTATTGTCTTACCACCTGTTTGGTTAGTGCAGTTTGTGTGGCACTTGCTATTAAAAGCTTGATTTTGCTTGACAGCAAGGTTGATATTCTTGTCCACACACACATCTATGTTTTATTACAGAACAAATGTTTTTATGTCAAGTGATTCTGAATCTGGAAAAGTGTTTAATATGACTGTTGTTGGATGAATACAATGGGGCATATGGTCATATTCTGAGAAGAGCCCTTCCCAACCAATGCCTTCATATATTTTAGATTCTAATTCCATTTGCAGATCCAGGGTGGAATTACCGAGGCTGAAGTGTAATTCCTGACAACAACAGGAAACCTTTTTAATAGACATATGCCTTGTTTTTTTATAACTATTCAGCTTTCTTTTTAAAACAATGTATATTTTATCTCTTTCTTCTTATAAAAGGCTATTAGACCTTTATAAAATATATTTTTCGGAAACTCACCACATTGATGACAGCAAGGGGCAAAAAGCATCTGAAAGTCATGTTCACAGTACTTCCTTCCTTCAAACTGAAAACAGACAAATAGACCAGGCTATCAGAAGGGGTAAGAATGTTTTCACATTTACTATGGCTATAGCCTTTGACCTGCTAGGGTTTCTAATAAGAGAAATTCCAATATGATTTTATATTTGAGCAAGCTACACTTATATAGTACGCATGATAACATAAGTAAAGAATGACTGATGCTTTTGATGAAATGATCTACATCCGGGCACAAATCAAGAGGTATTCTTATCATGAACATCTGTTTTAATGTTCAATGCAGGAAACATATTTTGTTAGCCATATATTTCTTCTATCCTTTACATTTCCTGAAAGGCAGCCCCAGGCAAGGTTTTGGAAAGTTGGAAATGTTCATGTCAGGTCTTTTTTTGCCCCAGAAAACATCACCTTCTTTCCAAATTATGTGAAAAAATACTAGAATAAACACAGTTATTTTGAAGTAGGTGTGAAATAAATAAGGCATTCCTATGACAATATTATATCAGATAGCCTGATATTATGGATAGTCCTAATACGTATGTATGTATTTGTTTGTTGTTTGTTTCTATCCCACTATTATTCCAGGAGCTCTGCTTCTCGGACTTAAATCTGTTCAATGGCAATTGCTATCCTATGTAATTCTATATTTATTTATTTATTTATTTATTTATTTATTTATTTATTTATTTATTTATGAGACTTATATACCGCTTTAAGTGCAAACGGTATATAAAGGGAGAACTGGAATAGCTATTTCAAACTCTTTAGCTCTTTTCAACCAGACATACCCTTCTGAGATTCGAACCTTGGCTGTCTGCATGTTAGGCAGATGTATTAACCTCTAGGCCACAGGCTCTGTCTCACTTTTGCCAGCTGTGTTAGGGAGGGAAGAAACAGGGGAGGAGTTATCTAGAATGCTGTATGTTACACCCTGTTGCCCAAATATGGGAGAGAGAAATCTTTTGCCTTGTATCAGCTCAAACTAGAGACATCCACAGGCAGCAGTCACAACTGTGACATCATATACATTTCTTATATATATATATATGTGTGTTTTCTGAGGTTTTCGCGGGTATTTGTATGTAGGTCTTTGGTTGTTCGGGTTTTCTCCTGCGTAAAATTGGAAGTGTCTTGGCGACGTTTCGACGAAGTCCCATTCGTCATCTTCAGGCTGGTGTTTTCAGCTTCGTGCTGCTCAAAGCACGAAGCTGAAAACACCAGCCTGAAGATGACGAATGGGACTTCGTCGAAACGTCGCCAATATATATATATTCTATCTCGATGGCTTCTCTGATTATTCTGTTATTAAAATGTTCACTTTTGGCAATGGTTCTGGTATTTTTAAAGTGAACATTTTAATAACAGAATAATCAGAGAAGCCATCGAGATAGAAAAACGCCCACACAGCATGAACAAGCGAGATGATACCTCCCGCCTACCAGTCATTTGGAAACCCGCCCTTATTGACAAACGACTCCCTAACACAAAAAATGATACCAGACCCACACTCACAAAAACCACACAGGATGTCACCACCACACATCCACGCAAAAAACAAACCCAAAGCCACACCGATGACGAGGCACGACCACAAACCAGAAGCCAGACCACAGCTGCATCATTAGCCACTTTAAACCCCTCCAATCCATACATGAAGCAAACTGACACCCTCCATGAAGAGGAGGCACGACCACGAACGCGAAGCCAAAAAATAGCAAGGCAGCCCAAAATCTTAAACCCCTCTGCAACTCAGACTAACCTGAGCACAACCAAACAGAACACTCCCCCAGCCAATCAGAGCACAGCCAAGCCCCTAACCATTCAGAACACACCTCCACCCAATCAGAACACAGCCAAGCTCCCACCCAATCAGTTCATACCCCCACTGGCAGTTAAAAGGAAGAAGACAGCTAAGACCACACATTGTGGCAGTTAAAAGGAAGAAACAGCTAAGACCACACATTGCTGCTCGAAGCACGAAGCTGAAAACACCAGCCTGAAGATGACGAATGGGACTTCGTCGAAACGTCGCCAAGACACTTCCAATTTTACGCGGGAGAAAACCCGAACCAAAGACCTACATACAAATACCAGCGAAAACCTCAGAAAATATGTGTGTGTGTGTGTGTGTGTGTGTGTGTGTGTGTGTGTGTGTGTATATATATAATATATATATATATATATTTACATTGCCCGCAACAATCTGGGTCCTCATTTTACCTACCTCGGAAGGATGGAAGGTTGAATCAACCCTGAGCCGGTGAGATTTGAACCTCTGACTTGCTGAACACAGTCAGCTAAAGTGGCCTGCAGTACTGCACTCTAACTGCTGCGCCACCTCGGCATTAATTGGATAATTGCAAAGAATATTTTCAGATTAATGAATTAAGAATGACTACTCAACTAGAGAGTTCTGCTGAAGTTTACCACTACAAACCCGAGCAATTCAGTGCATGTTTATTAACAAGCATGAAAGCGTACAGTGAATTTACCAGGCAGAGAGCAGCAGTTTAAAGCTTGAGGGACATTTAACCAAACTAAACATCTTAAATATAGGAAAAATTTAGTGGGAGAACTAGAACTCAGTCTCCTGGTTTCTGGACCATCACCTTAACCAGAATACCAAAGAACTGTCACAACAAAACCACAGTTAAATTGGTGGGCATGTATAGTTCAATTTGATTCTTAGCTTTTCTTCTTAACAAAAAATGTTTGTCTAAAGTTCAGTTATCTAAATAGTTTATGATTCTTTTTTGGTGAGTAACTATCCCAGAGCATGCTGGTATAGTATTCAAATGTAAGATTTAATCAAAATGATCTATGAGACAAGTGTTCTTACTTACAAGTACTTTACAAGGGCACATGTCCAAGGAATAATGAGTTCTAGTCCCGCCTCACAGGTTTGTTTTTGTGGGGAGAATAGGAGGAGAAAAGAGTATTAGATATGTTCGCTGTTTTGAATTATTTATAAAAATAATAAAGACAGAATAAAAATAAATTTAAAAAATGCAATGTGTAAGGAAGCAGAAGGATAAAGTACTTCATGCATTACTATAGGATTAAATGGTAAGACTATTTTGCAGGAATTAAAAAAGGACTGTATAGTTCAAATACTGTATGCTAATTTGGATGAATATAAGCATGTTTTCAGTTTTGTACAGCAAAAGAGTTTCTAAGCAGGCTCATTATGCCTGATTTCCTGGAAATGTCTACTTCATTTTATTGACCTCTAAAAATATTAAAAGACTATTATAAATACCTATTTTTGTAATGAAGTTTGTTTGAGATTGACGCATGTCCAGGCTCTCAATGCTACAGATTCCTAAGGAAAAATTGTATCTCAAGTTGCTATAAAAGAGATGCATATCTGGATACTCCCTCAACTAACACAATAAAACAAATCTTGCTAGGATTGTATTATAGGTCTTAAGTATGGAATACTCAATTGTAAGGTATTAGAGCTATCAATGCATAAAGAATTGTAATTAGTAGTAGTAGTAGTAATAGTAGTAGTAGTAATAGTAGTAGTAGTAGTAATAATAATAATAATAATAATAGCATGGGTTTTGGTTGAAACATCTAACTGTTATACACCCACTCATTGCCAAACAGTTCAACAATATACTACAAGGAGGAGAAATTGAAAAGTGGCTAAAAACTGGGAAAACCTACCTAATAATGAAAAATCCAGCAAAAGGGGCAACACCAGGTAACTACAGGCCAATTACCTGCTTACCAACAACTTTCAAATTACTAACTGGTGTAGTAGCTGATGCAGTGCAACGGCATCTAGTTGAAAACAATCTCTTTCCACCTGAGCAGAAAGGAAACCGCCCCAACAGCAGAGGACCAAAAGATCAACTCCTAATAGACAAAATGATCTTGGAAAACTGCAAGAGAAGGAAGACCAACCTGAATGTGGCATGGATTGACTACAAAAAGGCATTTGACTCTCTGCCACATGATTGGATAATCAAGTGCCTAGAAATAACAGGAGTCAGTAGAAACATCAGAAAATTTCTGCAAAGATCGATGGCACAATGGAAGACACAGTTGCAGATCAATGGTGAGAGGCTGGGAGAGGTTAATATCAAGAGAGGAATATTTCAAGGAGATTCATTATCACCATTACTATTTGTTATTGCACTGTTTCCTCTGTCAACAATACTGAATAACTCAGGACATGGCTATCAAACATCAAAAACATCTGCCAGACTATCCACCTCCTTTATATGGATGATCTGAAGCTGTATGGAAAAACATCATCTGAAATAGAATCGCTGCTCAACACTGTCCGTATATATAGCCAAGATATTGTAATGGAGTTTGGCTTGGACAAATTTGCCACACTTACTATCAAACAAGGAAAAATAATGAAAACTGAAGGAATCAAGATGCCCCACGAAAATAACATTAAGAGTCTGGATGAGGAAGAGTACTACAAATACTTGGGTATCCTTCAAGCTGACACCATCAAGCACACTGAAGTCAAGAAAAAGATTAGAGGTGAATACATCAAGAGAGTGAAGAAGATCTTAAAGTCCAAACTCAATGGAGGACATACCATAAAGGCAATCAACACCTGGGCAATCCCAGTCATTAGGTACACAGCTGGAATAGTGGACTGGACTCAAGCAGAACTAAAAGCAATGGATAGGCAGACCAGAAAAATAATGACAATGAATCACGCCCTTCATCCACGCAGTGACATTGATAGACTTTATCTACCAAGGCAAATAGGTGGGCGTGGAATGCTACAAGTACATCAGATGGTTGAAGAAGGAAAAAAAATGACTTTGGAAGAATATCTGAAGAACAATGATGAAGATGCACTGAAATTAGTATATCAGGAAGGCTTACTAACTACTGGAGAGACCAAACTGGCCTACAAGAAAGACCAAATGAAGAACAGAATAGAGGCATGGAAGACAAAGCACTACATGGCCAATACATGAAAAAAATAGCTGGGAAAGCAGATAATAATAAAACCTGGCAATGTCTAAGAGCAGGAAAATTGAAGAAAGAGACCGAGGGACTAATTCTGGCTGCACAAGACCAAGCCTTAAGGACAAATGCATACAAAGTCAAAATTGAGAAGACAGCAACAGACAATAAGTGCCGCCTATGCAAAGAAGCTGAAGAAACAGTGGACCACTTGGTAAGCTGTTGCAAGAAGATTGCACAAACTGATTACAAGCAGCGGCATGACAAAGTAGCTACAATGGTGCATTGGAAGATCTGCAAAAAATATCATTTGCCTGTAAGCAAAAACTGTGGGATCATAAAATAGAGAAAGTCATAGAAAATGATAAAATTAAACTGCTCTGGGACTTCAGAATTCAAACAGACAAGCACCTGCAACATAACACCCCAGACTTAACAATTGTCGATAAGAAAGACAAAAAAGTCTGGATACTGGACGTGGCAGTGCCTGGAGACAGCAGAATAGACGAGAAAGAACTGGAGAAGATAACAAAATACAAAGACCTACAAATAGAAATAGAAAGACTGTGGCAAAGCAAGCAAGGGTAGTACCAATAGTCATAGGCTCCTTGGGTGCAATCCCAAAACAACTGGAGCACCACTTGAACACCATTGGCATTGACAAATTCGCTATTAGTCCATTGCAAAAGGCAGCCGTATTAGGAACTGCTTCCATCCTGCGACGATATCTGTAATACCATCAAACATCCACATCTGCCTATCCCAGGTCCTGGGTAAGGACTCGATAGGTAGACAAAATGCCAAATCCAGTCTGAACATCTGGCTGACTGTGCGATGATCGATAATAATAATAATACACATTCTTACTTTGGGCCAAAAGAAAAGAAACCATTAAATATGGTTCAACATCCTTGAAGGTGAGATCATTGTGTATACTATGGGCAAATCCTCTGGGAAAATGCCAGAGAAAACTATCCAGCCTTTAGAAGAGATTGCAAACTCTGGACTAAACCAAGGAATTCTTTCTGGGTCAGGGAATTCATTGGTTAAACCAAAACCAAACCATCCTTTTTTTGTAGCCTGCTTAAAATTTCATATTATGAACAACAATGCTGCTCTATTGTCATGGCAGAAATATTATACAGCCTATGTAATTTAAAACTGGCTTTAATCTGTCTCAGCTGGTTGGGTACAATCATTTTGTATTAGTTCAGGAAACAGCACCTCTTCTTTAGGAAGCTATCCTGACCAAGGTAAGCAGAAATATTTTGACAGTAACAAACCATTGCAAAATTTTCCATCAGGGCTATATTTTAATTCCTGTCATCTCTATGATTCACCTTGTCTTAGAACAATCAGTAGCTTGTAGAAAGCATCTGAATATGTTTTCAGGTTGTAGCACCATACCCCAAATGACTCTTTTTAAAAATTAATTGAAGATGAGTTCCAGACAAGGTGAAAAACAAGAAATGCTGCAATCCTTTTGAAAACTGAATCTCCCTTTAAAAAATGTTACATGGTTAGCATGGTAGATAGCTAATACTGGTAGTATTTTTACTTTAATCCTCTATTCTAGATTGTAATTTTCTTATGTATCAGGGCTATTATAAATATCTCTAACAAGTGTAGCTGACCTACCATTCATTAAATTTCATAATGATAAATGTGAGAGGCATAATTTTTTCTGAGTGGCATAATTCCTTGAACTTCCTTGCTTGTATGGTACTAACTTAGATTCCCTTTCTTTGTCACTCCAGATTTCTTGGCACCAAAATTTAAGCTATGAGAAAATTATTATTAGTTATTCATTTGTGCATTGCTGCACTGTATGTCCTTTAAACAAAAGCTATACATGACAAATTTTGTAAGTGATAACTGATGATATGAATGAAGTGCTGAGGTTAATCAAGGAAACCATAATTAAAATCCATGTTCATTCATGACCCTCACAAGAAGACCCCAACCCAGATTTAGCTTATTTTATAATATAGTTGTAGGGTTGAAATGAAAGAGAAGGAGTAATTTTAAGCTGTTGAAGGAAGTTGTTAAATATTTATTTATTTATAAAAATGTATATGGCTGCCCAATTCACTCTTGGTAACTCCAGAAAGCTTACAAAGATAAAACCTCAGTACACAAACTGTAAGTATTCATGATAATTTAACACATGGTAAATGAATACGTAGTATTTTCTTAATGCAGTCTTTCTGAACATCAGTTGCTAGCGGTATTAAGGCTGGAAAATTTTAAAATCACAGTGATACTATTGAAAGAATAAATAGATTTACATTATCTTGGAATTCCAGCAGTCATGAGCCCAGCACTCCAAAAGAGAAGCAAGATGGTGAAGGTTGACCCTATGTGAGACTAGCAACTGGTTTCCAGAATGCATTATCAGATAATAAATTTGAGGTTTCTTATATAAGATGTTCCAGAGTACACTGTGCTTGCAAAGCAAGATAGATCACTGAACTCTACCTGATTTCAATAGTGTCATCTTCTATATTTGAAACAAACTATTGGAACAAGGAGTAACTTCTAAAGGCAGAAGCAACCAGTCAAAGGAAACTGACCTCATAAAAAAGTCCCTCGGGGAATTGCTGGAAGCACTGGGCACACACAAAGCACTGTTCGTGGTATAGCTCCCCGTTGCTGTTCACAATCTTTTCTGCAGGTGCAAAGCCTCCTCGGCAGCGTTCACACATGGCATTGGCAAGAGCATTGGCCATGTTGCTGTAACAAAAGAGAACTGCATGAGAACCTAACTTGGATGATCATGTGTTTGCAACAATACACTTTTTCAGCTTTGCAAAAAACAAGGCATAAAATCTATGGATTTTATTAAGAAAGGTAATCATCTGTAAAATGCTGGGCCTACCCTAAAGCCAGTGGGGAAACCTCCTTTTCAATTAGCACTGGCTCCTTACTGAGAAACCAGAAGTTGGTAGCAAAGGCAGACTAAGCAGCTGAAGGAGAGAAGGAGTCAAAGGGAAGCTTTGTTCTCATAGAAATCCTTGCTATGTATGGGAAAGAAACCTGGAGATGTCAAAGGTAACCTGGAAGGATGTTCTCTCCTGCTCTTCCTTCCCTGCTGGAATTGTCTTAAGACATGGCCCTGTTTTAAAGAATCACTGAACTGCAGTAGTAATAGCACTTCACAGTACTTTGCAGCCCTCTCTAAGTGGTTTACAGAGCCAGCATATTGCCCCAACAATCTGGGTCCTCATTTTATGGACCAGCAACCATACCAAAAGATGTGTATGGCCTAGAGATTTCACATTTCTTTCCCTCTGTGTTTTCCCTCAGTGGCATGGGGTAATCACAGAAGGGTACACAAAGATTATGGTCGTTTTCAGAAATTGGAAAGTGGATGAAAGCAGCAGTTGTCCTGATATTTTTTAACTGAGCAATTATTTAACATTATAGATTATACTGGAACCTATCAAAGTTTTGATTTAAACATGCTATGTATGATAAAACAGTATTGCGATTATACTCTGTCCAAATAATGCATCAGTGTTTGCTGTGTGACACAAATCTAGCTCATACATTTCCTCAGAGTATAAGATGCAAGAACAAATTAGAAAATCACATGCACATGTATTTTGTCAGCATATCCAATTGGTATGTATCTTTTGTCCTTATTTTGTAGCTTTCTCCAACATATTTTTATGAATTAAAGAAATCCAAATTCTGACATGTCAGTGAATGGAGCACATATCATAAACTTGGTCAACTAATTAAACTATAAGAAAACTATCACACATGAAATAATTTGAAATTCCCTTGAATCTACGCAATGTAATTATCTGATCTAAAACATTAAAAATTTGTTTAAGTAGCTTTTGATTGGGCCAAAAAGCTATCTAAATTTTTCCACATTCCTATGTGATGACTGTACAAGTTATTCTTAACATTTTAGAAGAATACTCAAGTCAGTTTCCACTTACTACAAATACAAATAAATAATTTGGGAAGTACCAAGCATTCTAATTTTATCTTAACATAGATTAGAATCAACAGTAAAACACTCTGAGTCTAACTACAGAACAACCCACCATGCTTGCAACGGAGGATCTATGCTAAAAACAGTTTGTAATCTAAGAAACTGCAAGTCTCACATTTAGCATTAAGTGAAGTACACTGGATAGTAACCACAGTATTACCATACAGGACTGAGACAGCTGAAGAATAGTTTATTTTCAGATACCACTGAATTTTGCCAGCATTTCCAAAACAATCCCTCTATAATACTCATGAAGTGGAATGCACGTCAGCAGCTTCCTACCATTTTTTGCAAGGTAAAATTCTTTGAAAGTAAACTTTGACTGCAATATTATTGTGAAAGTCTGAAAAATGTAGCTTGTGCTATTAGAGCATGATACAAGTTTTTTCCCCCAGAGATAATGTTCACTTTGATCAATGGAATTTATATTCTGCTAAAAATAGCCTGGATTACAATTTAAAACAACAATTCTATATATACTTCCCTGGAAATAGTCCAGCATTTCAAAGTAGCTATGTATAGGATTTTTCTGCCTGGATTCAATATGATACATATTTACTAGGAAATGAGCCACATGAACATATATTTTTTCTTTGTGTAAAGGATTAGGATGCACAGCTATTTCTACTAGTTAGTCCAAATAAGGAATTTTCAATGGAATTTAGAAAACATATTTTCATTGCAGACAAGTATTTCATACTATATAAGAAATAGACTATTGCCACTTCATATTTGTAGACCTTAATATACCCAAAGAGAGTATCAGGAGTCCAGTAAAGGATGTTGGTTTTGGAACCAGAAACAAATACACATATTACATAATACAGTACATGCAATATACAGATTAATACACAGTAACCTTGTTACTGGGTCATGGTATAATAACTAAGCCATATGATCATCAACATCAATATGCTTGAACAAATTAGATTAACCCAGGCCCCAAATCAACTGAAAAGGCAAACTTACAATTTTGCATAGAAGTCACATATTTCTTTATATACTTTTATGTCACTATGCCTGCGCTGCAACTTTGACACAGCTCTTTCGCCCTCTTTCGCATAGTTATCATGGGCAGTTTGAGGAATGTTGGATATTTCTTCATTCTCTGGAATTGCACAGGACTCTTGTCTGCTTTGGAATTCCATTCTTAATTTGCAACTGTTTGAAAAACAACTGGAGCAGAAAGCTCTGAAGAAACCACTGAAGATAGGAATAAGCGGGACTTGACTAAGAACTGGATCAAGCTGTGTGCAGTCTGAAGAGCTTCAAGTTAAAAGCTCAGCTACAGAACAGTTTGAATGTCACTGTGAGGTTACGGATGTCAGAGGAACCAAGCAGCAAATTCCATTGGAAGGTAGTAAGAGCAACTTATACGGAACAGATGATCTTTTCTACTTACTGCTGTTAGCAAGAGTTTGACTAAGGCAATGCTATTAGAGAAAATGTAAGCCTAGGCATGCTAGTTGTCACTGACTGTTTAATGTGGAAAAACTTACTCCAGTATGCTGGCATGCCTTTATATTTATATCAGGACTGTTAACGCCTTTGCTTTTAGTTTAGAAGGAAATACTGCATTAGGAAAACACATTCAGGAAAACTGGCTTTACCCTTTGCAAATTCTCCATCTCTCATTGACTAGAGAACATGAATCTAAGGTTCAGTAGTCTGCATCTTTTCTGTTTTAACATCTTAGCAACATTGGGCAGTTAGGATGTATGATCATAGTATCTCCACAGGATGTCTTTTTTATATGAAAGATGCATTTTCATGACATTGACAATAAGTACAATACTATGGCACTTTTCCTAAGAAACTCTTTTGCACGTCAGAAGATTTTAAAAACCCACCATCAGCAATACCACTACCCATCATACAATCATCCTAAAATAATCCAGTGAGTTTCTGTCTTAATAAACTTTTAAATGAGGTTTGAACTAGACATTTCCTATTGATAATATCTTTTAACAAAGGTCATTGAGTTTCTATAGGAATGGTTCTTGTTTATTGTAATGTATTTGTAGCAAGATACTTGAGTTGGGAATGCTTCAACAGGAATAGCATGTTTTTGGAAGGAATTTTTTATAGCAGACTTAACTCCAGGCATGAATATCTCAGATTATACGGAAACTCATAAAAAGATACTGGTGGTAGCACCAAGTACAAAGGAAGTACAGATAGGATGTGAAAAAATAGGTTAAGGAATATGATTATGAATGTGTGAAACCAGAATGCCCAAATATTACCTCATCGTTTTACTAGCACAGAAGTCTCTACAGGTCTATAAAGCCTAAGCATTATATAGCTGTTCAATTTTACACACCAGTTACTGTAGGACTTGAAATTTTATGAATACAGGTAGTCTTCAAATTACGATGGCAATTGGGACTGGAATTTCCATTGCAAAACAATGCAATCAAAAAGTGCAACTACAGTCCTGGTTGCTGTTGTTTAATCCCATGGTTGTTAGGTAACACAACTTTCTGCCAGCTTCTAACAACCAGGTCAGTGGAGAAGCCAACAGGAAGTTGCCAAGTCCTAGGTGGCTTGCAAGCAGGTTGGCAGGCAGATAAGTGGCTGCTGCCAGGTGGAAGAGGGCACGAGGGAGACACTGGGGAGGGCTGCAAGGGGCATGAAGGTGTGTGTGTGGGGATGTAAAGATGTGAGAAAGATGCAGTAAGGCTCAGGGAGGGTGCTTGGGTGGGGGAGACTTATCCTAGTGGTTTTCAACCTTCTTTGCCAGCAAGAAGGCAGCCCCAGCATCACTTGGATCATCAGGGGTGGAACTATAAAGCTGAGTATCATCTGCATACTGATGATACCTCAACCCATGGTGATGGATGATCTCACCCATGTAGATTTTAAAAAGGAGTAGAGAGAGTATTGAGCCCTATAGCACACGACAAGATAGCAGCTGGGGACAGGACCTCTCACTCCCTATTAACATTTGGGACTGGCCTTGGAAAAAGGAGCTGAACCTGCAGAAGATTGTGCTGCCCAGTCCCAGCCCCTGTAGCTGCCCCAAAGGAAACCATGATTGATTGTATCGACAGTATTGAAGGCCGCTTAGAGATCAAGGAGAGTGAGGATGGTTGCACCACCCCATCCTGCTATCATCAAATATCCTCAACAAGCACGTTCAATGCCGTTTCTGTCCCATAATCCTGACTGAAAGGGGTCCAGATAATCTCAATTTCATCATGGAGCCTATAAAGTTGCCAGGCCACCACCTTTTCCACAACCTTCCCTAAAAAGTTACTCCCTCGTCTTTCCTTCACCTCCACTGCTGTTAAAAGATTTCAAATTTCAGCCTCAGTTCCAAAGCAGCCAATTTTCATTCTCCTGTTGGGCCTTACTCCCAGCTGATTGGGTACAGGAGTCAGAGGAAGGTAGAAAATATGTCAAGGATATACTCATGATGATCACATGACCTCAGCCAATCATGGCAGCACAATGATGCTGAAGCAGCCACAACCTTGCCAAGTTTCAATTCCATGGGAGTAATAGGACCCAGATTTTGTCATCATTCTATAGGTTAGCCTTGGTTTAAAAACTGTTGTCTTATGATGCACATTTTGCCCAATTGAATGTTACAAACAATCAAACAGTTTTAATAGTATATAGATTGCCAATATTCCAGCAGGGCCTTATATTTTTGGTCCAAGACATCTCCATGTTCTGAATTCTCCCTAAAGGCAATTTGCCTTAAAAAGTCCCGTTTTTAACAGAATAGCCTCAGAATAAGGTCTCTCTCCTTCAGTGCTGATCTGTTTCTTGAATGAACATGTCTTTTTCTTAAGAAAGAAAACTTGCAGCTCCTAGGTAGATTTTAAGTAGCATAGTTCACATTATGTACAGTTTAACCATAAATTGACTTTTCTTCTTGAATTTGAATAATATTTGCTAGTTACGTTATCATTTAATGCAGTGCTTCCCAAACCTGGATGATTACCCCAAATTGGGTAACAATGGTTTTCCTTTGGGTATTGACACATGAATCCATTACCAAATCACAGCAAGACATTTAAATTAATTTAAAGTGTTTTACCTACATTGGGTAAACAGGACTTTCTGTCAAAGCAGTTTTGGGGAATGAAAAAAAAAAGCTTATTAAGTACTGATTTAATGGGTGAAAATTTGGATACATTGGTATGAAAATATGTTGAATAAGCATTATGCCCTTTCAGCATTGCAATTATCCATCAATGCATCTTAACACTTTTTAAACTGAAGGTAGCATGAAAACATTTGGAAGAGCTTGTGGGAGCAATGAAATTTAGAGATTTCACTGTTATTTCTTAACAGTAAAGCTTTTTAAAACTATGGCTTACGTATGCATTTTTTTTACAGAGCTGTATAATGCTACACACATCCCTTACCATTAAAGGATAAAATATTTAAGAATATGGCAATCATGCAACTAAGGCCTCAGCCGTTATTAGTCACCTACTTGTGTATGTCTCTTTTCAGCATTTCAGGCAAAGAAGAACAAATAACAAAAGAAGACAACTTCCTTTGGTTTAAAAAATGAAGGATGTTCATCACTATCAATATTTTCCACAAGCAACTAGGGAAATGATTTATACTACATGGCCCACATTTTAAAACTTGCAGCTAGAATTGGACAGTTTCTCAAATTCATGCTGTGAATTTTTCTTAGAATGTAAGTTTAATTTAGGGAGATTTTCTATTAAATAGCTATGTTTGGAAACTGTATGTTGTAGTAATTATGGACTGTAGTTCAAATTCCTAAACTTGACATAAAATCGGCTTAAACTTCATATTGGGCTGATTTATACCTAATGCTATACTGTTGGCTAATGTGATGTATTTGTTTTCAACTTATAGGATGCTTAGCTATAAGGTGGGCTGCTTGTTTTCAGCTTGTCATCTCTGAAATTATGATGTAACATTATGTATGAAACTGGTCACATAATTAAAAATCCAGATTTAATACTATATGTGAACTCAGCCTTAGAATTCTTTCAAGAATAAATCAAAACAATCCCAAGATCTCTTTAAATACTACAGGAAAAAATGAGAAGTACACTATAGTGAATAATACTTTTCTATTTCAGTCCTTGTGTATATTTAGGTTTTTACATTATTCTATTACAATTTTGCTTAGGAATCAATGCACAAGACAAGGCACATGACACAGGGAATTTGACAGAACCCATTTCAATTCACTAATTTAATTCATTCAGTTCATTGAGCTGCAATTCAAAGTTTCATGCTACAGTGAAAGTTGAATATACGGAAGTATTTCTTTTAATCAGAAGCTTTTAAAATATTAAGCTCCATTACAATTACTATAAAATGTTTTCAAAAATTACCTTAAAACAAGAAACTTCTAATATTAAGACAATGAATGAACTGAATAGTTCATATAGTATTATAATTAAAACCTTGATTAATCTAAGTGAAGCTTGCCACGAAAAACTTCTCATATGTCTGTCATGTTCCTTATAAGGTTGGAGTAAATGTCAACACCAGACTTTCTGGCTCGATACTACATTCTTATTATAGTAACGACTCTATTGGAGATACCACACTGAAGATTGACCTTCATCAAAAATGGAAAGGGCAATATTGATTGTTCTGCTAAACAGAATGTGAGAACTCTTAGAATTCTCTTTGTAAGCAAGTTACTATATCTATATCTATATCTATCTATCTATCTATCTATCTATCTATCTATCTATCTATCTATCTATCTATCTATCTATTTGTTAACAATATATATATTAACCAAATAAGAAAGAAAATATATCATGATAATTAAATATTAATACTTTATTAATATTAATACTTTAAGTAGCCCATGTATGATTATATGAAATTAATGATAAAGGAATTATTTCCATCTTAATCTACTTCTACCTATTAAAACTATTTGTAAAATCACAACTCTGTTGTTGGAATAATTAATGAATTCAACGTAAAACAATATTTCAACAAGGCATGTAAAACCATGGCTTTGAAATGTAATTATAACATCACAGACTGTCTGACAGCTACTTTTTTTTTCAGAGTGCTGCTAAATAATTTTGTAGTATATTAAAGACTGGTAAATCTACCAGATACATGCAGAAAATGTGCCATCAAAATGTGTCCATCTTTAATATGCTACAAAACTTATAGTATTTACTTACAGAGAGATGGAGAATATGCAGATAGTTCTCAACTTACAACTATTTGAAAAACCAATGTTTTTTCAGTTATAACAGCACTGTAAAAAAAAAGGATTTACAACTGGTCCTTGTACTTATGACCATGGTCATTTCCATGGT